AGGGGAGACTTGTGTCAGGAGCCAGGGTCTGGAGTAGGTCAGCAATAAAAACATTAGTGTCAGTGAAGTTAACTCTTTATTCAAGAAACCAAAACAGCACAGGCTTAGTGATCACAGTGACTCTTCCCTGTAGTTCTTGTCCCAATGAGGCAGTTGCGACGACTGAATGAGGCTGAAGGGCATTTCACACAACGTGTATTCACAACAGCAAATGTAACCTGGTTAAACTGGCAATAAGTATGACAATAGTAACTGGAAACACACAGCTGTTATTATGAGAATTGCTGTTGACTGTATCTATAATTCCCAGGTTATGCTATGTTTGTCCAGATTAAGTGTGTGTCTGACAAAATTTAGAACTACTTGCATAGAACAAATGTTTTCTATGAATAGGCTGTAATCTGGTGGCTGAGCATGGATGTGAATTTGGATCTTAAGGTTAAAATCTGATTATCCACTGATCACTCTGTTCTTCATCAGATTTAACATGGCATATTCCTGTTCTACATGGGAGAGACTTCTGGTTTGTAAGTGGACATTGTTGTATGTGAGCATTTGTCAGAGTACTATTTCTCTATTATTTGAAGTTCTTGGAATATGAAAACTAATTCCGGAAACAAACTGGATAATGTTGGCAGCAGTGGCTAATTCTAAATTATCTGCAAAAATGCAGCTGTTAAGTTTTGCAACCAACATTGCTGGACTGCTTTAAATCTCACATGACAAGATTTATCCCTGCTGGTATCTGTACTGGTGGGAAGAATAATGGTCCTAAGGGAGGGGGGTATCTTCTGTAGTGTCAACATTCTTGAAAACAAACTAACCTCAAAAAGAGGGAAGGTTGCTACAGAAGCTGCACTGTAGAGTGTATAAAGAAGAGATTAAAGGAGTTCATATCAACTGCAAAAATTGATCTGCTTGGACATGGCATTTTTCTGCAATAGATGTGGGGAAATATTCAAGGACAATGAAAACCTCCTTTGTGCACAAACAAACATCATGTCCCGTTTCAAGAATGTGCTTTCTTCTATTCTCCAGTTTATATATATCCATGGAGTAGTAGATGATAGACAGCAAACATCCCCCCCCCCAAAAAAAAACACCCCATAGTATTTTTAGGTCATGTTTTAGGTCATGATTTTTAGTATGGACCTTGGCTTGGTTTTGTACTTTTGAAAGTACATTGCATTGCTTAGGATTTTAAACCTCAGAGGTATAGTATTACCCTTGATAAGCAAATGTGCTAGTGGCTTTGTGCTACTCTTTGGGGGAGCCAGTAATACAAAGAAGTATCCTAAATATCCCAATGTTATACTAAAAAGTCTATTACTTTAGAAGCAGTACGACACAATGTTTTAACATGTGCAATTTTGTTATGCACCTTACAACAGCTGAAAGTTTTTCTTGTGCCTGGAGACCTCATTCCTGAATTGAAATCTCAATTGGATGTACAAAATTCCAAGAATTACAGCACTCCTATATACTTCTAGGGATGCGGGTGGCACTGTGAGTTAAACCACAGAGCCCTGGGCTTGCCAATCAGAAGGTTGGCGGTTAAAATCCCCGGGATGGGGTGAGCTGCCGTTGCTCGGTCCCTGCTTCTGCCAACCTAGCAGTTCGAAAGCATGAAGTGCAAGTAGATAAATAGGTACCGCTCCGGTGGGAAGGTAAACGGCGTTTCTGTATGCTGCTCTGGTTCGCCAGAAGCAGCTTAATCATGCTGGCCACATGAGCCAGAAGCTGTACACCGGCTCCCTCGGCCAGTAAAGCGAGATGAGCACCACAACTCCAGAGTCGTCCACGACTGGACCTAACGGTCGGTGTCCCTTTACCTTTTTATATATCTCTATACTTGATAGAGTTTAACCGCTGTGGAGTTTCCTGCCTTTAAACAATCACATCAGAACTTTTGGAACTCAAACTTAATTTTGCACAAGCCTACGGATACTATTCCAGAAGCTCAAATATATAATTCTGCTGGACATCAGACACCATGGTTTAGCAATATGAACCTGACCAAAACATCAGACTTGCACACTCCCTTCTTCTCTTGCTTCTTGTTACATATGAATCAGAGACTGAAGTTTAAGCCAGCACGGCCAGTCATGAGGCAAACTGTGGCAGCTGCCTCAGGTGATGGAATCCAAGGGGATGGCCATGCCACAGATGCCCCTCCCCACTGCTGGCAAAAGAAGCTGCAGTGGCTTCTAGTGAGATCTCACAAGAGACCCTCATGATCTTGTATGGCACTCACTAGAAGTCACTACCGCTTTTCCTCACTTCTCCTGTGCCACCATGGGTGCCCCACCTGCACCCCCTGCTATTTCTGGAGAAGTGAGGAGAAGCAGGTTCTGGTAAGATCTCACTAGATTTGGTTGGAAGCCACTGCTGCTTCTCCTCACTCATCTAGAGCTCCCCCTGCCCCACCAGAGAAGTGAGAAGAAGAAGCTTTGGTGGTAGTTTCCGAGTTCCAGAGACATTTCATGGGGCACTCATGAGATCTTGCAGGGCAACCCTATAAGTGAGCCTTTGGTGAGGCATTGGGGGCACCTTCTCATTTCTCCTCAGGCGGCAAAACAGGATGCGCCACCCCCTTCATAACAGTCTTTGTTTTAAGCCAGGATTCTTTAAAGGGGAAACTTAAAACTTGTGAATCCTACCTTCCAGCCACACTTGGGCATGTGTATGATCCCAAGGCTCATGCACACAGCACTGAATTGTGGTTTAGAATTACATGTAAACATGACTGTTTTCTTACAATATAGTACAGTGATCTGTAATATACTGGGGTGGTGGTGTGCTTCCAAATGAACCAATTGCCTAAATGAATTTAGGTTGCAATCCTATACCCACTTAGCTGGGAACAAGCCCCATTAGACTCACTGGGACTTACATCTGAGTAAACATGTATAGGATTGCACTGCTAATGAAAGATGTGAAGCCGCTGCCTTCTCTTTAAATCTACAAATGCATTGTGGTAGCATATAAGCAGCTTTATTTTTTCCATAGATTGGTGGAGGCAAGATTAATGAAATACAGTAGACTTCAATTCTGGCAGTTCAATGAAATGGAAAAGAAGCCATGAATGAATCCCATTGTGGAAAGCAGCTTTTGGCTATTAAGATTAATCAAAAGTTTATTAGCTTAAGATGTGGCATTGTAGTGAGAGTGAACCTGGGAGACCAGGGTTCAAGTCCCCATTCAGCCATGAAGCTCACTGGGTGACCTTGGGCCACTCACTGCCTCTCAACCTAATGTACCTCACAGGGTTCTTGTGAGGATGAAATGGGAAGGAGGAGAAGTCTGTACTGCACCTTCAGCCTCTTGAAGGAAAGGTGGGATATAAAAGTAATAATAAACACCTCTGGACCACAAGTGCCAATCTACAGACTGCCATGGACAGCTTTACACAGGGCTCTGTTGTGTCATGCCCTACCACTCTAGTGCCAGAGTGTGCTAGTGACGCTGGAGAAGATTTAGTTTTGAGTGTTTCTAAATTTAAAACTACAGAAAATAAAGAGGAATGCAAGCATGTGGCAATTACAGAACAGCAAGTTCAAAGTGATTTGCATAAATCGGGGTTGAGAGTGCATTGTAAGCGGCTCATGCAATTCAGCGTACTGAGAGAATCTAAGATGTGTGAGTGCAGGCACGCTTAGGTTTGTTTTAGCTTTGTTTGCTACCATTATATGGCTTTATGCCAACAAAGTCTTTGTAATGGTTCCCTGTCCTCATTTTAATAACTGTTATTTTCTAAGTGCATTACCTCACTTTCTGGCTGCCAGCCAGATATGACCTGATGGAAAGGGGGAGGGGGAGAGAGAAATGTTTTACTTTCTATCTATTCATCCATACTTTTTTCATTAAAGGGAAAAAAAACCTACTGTTTAAGGAAAATCAATAGTATTCAGTAGCTATTGAGAGAGGTTAAAATGGTACATGACTGGCAGTGCATTTTAATGACCAGCAAACTTTAATTCCAAGCCGACCTGCTACAAGGAGGAAATTGAGCTATAAAATATCACTGATGCTTTCTTTTTCGCAGCTTGGGTACACGGTGACCCCAGAAAAGTAGCTTACCCAACTGACAGCTATGGGCAGTTCTGTGGTCAAAAGGACACGCCTAATGAGTAAGTACCAAGATATTCCTTCGCCTTCACTTTTCATGATGCATGAAAGGGAGCACTAGACTTCTGTCTCCTGGAAGTCTTAATGGAAGGATGAGGGAGGACCCTGCCTTCCTTCAGTGGTTTCTCTGTGTTGACTCCAATTAAGATTTATATTTAAAAAGCTGAGTGATCAAAGCAAAACCATTGTACATATGCAGTCCGAAGGCTGTTCATAATTCAGTAAAATACAATTACGTCATGCATCCCAGTGATTAGAATGCCACACTTCATAAAATGCATTGGAGCTGATTAGCCAGCATAAGTTGGAACATTTAATTGAAATGTCCTCTGAGAAATTGTTCCTGTCATTCCAAGAAGAAAAATAAATCCTAAGTACCACAGGCTGCATCTCATTTCTATAAACCAGATACCCCTTGCTCAGTGGGTAAAACATGCCAGCAGCAGAAAAATAGCAAAGGAGAATTCTACCACTGGCTGCTACCAGCTTAAAAGAATGCACTTTATACTAGAAATTCCTATAAGTCCAGGTCTGAACTTTGGGCCAAGAGCCACTCACAACTTCTCCCTGCAGATCACCCACTATAATGTCCCTACGTTATCACAGTGTTTTGAGCATCTAAAAGCAACTCCATAGAATCTGGGTCTGGTGGGTTATCCATCCAATCATCTGCTGTAAAGCATAATATATTTTATAGACAAAGCATCCTGTACAGTCTTTGAATACCTAGGAAGCCTTCCTGAACAATAGATAGGATACTTTTAGATTAGGTGATCGGCCATGTTGAGCCATTCTTTTCCTTTCCTTTCCAATTCCCAGCTGTACCACTCCCCAGCTGGGGTGAATTATAATTATTTAAAATATTGTTATACTGCCTTTAAACAGTAAAATCCTTCTCTCTCTATATATATATATATGCATATATATATATATACTTGAGAAGGATTTTACTGTTTAAAGAGAGTATAACAGTAGTACTGTGACTACTATTGTAACACAGAGGCAGCCAGTAGAATGCCCTCAAGATTCTACAGTCCTACAATTCCCACAATCCCTGGCCATTGGCTTTAACTGATGAGAGGTATAGTCAGCAACATTTGGAAGGCGCCAAGTTTTCTTCCCTTGCAGTCGCATGTTCCTACTTATAACCTCATAGATGCATACTGACACACAGAAGGAGTTGTTAGTCTATTATTATTATTATTATTATTATTATTATGTGAAATGCTCTAAGTGTGCTTAGTGTGAGATGCTCTTAGCTTATTTGCCCCATGTCCAAAACAATAATCAATCGAGCAAATACAATCAATATTCATTATTGTATTTCAGACCTCCAACAATTTAACACCCTTCCCCCATTTGCACTGTGTTTCCTTTGCACTGAAATCAGTGGGATAGAATGAAGTAGTGACAACAAAATCAAATAATTTATGCAATTAATTACGTAATTTACAGAAGTTACATAGTTTCGCCACAGCAGCCAGCAAAAAATAATAATATAGGTTTTGGTGGAAGATGAACTGCAATGGAACAGAAACAGTGCTCCATGCTACCAATACAGGGCATAATGGAAAACAATGCCAACTTACATCCCTAATTTACCACATAGGAAAATATTTGTTTCCACTACAGAATTCTGTAAAGGAAACAATTGCCCATAGCATTACCAAAACATGACTAAAATCTCACAGTTAATGTTGAAATAGCATGAATTCACTGCAAATGAACCTGGTGGTATCGATTGGCAATGATTCCCTTTTGGACCGAGTTCAGAGCTTGATTGCTCCATCGGCATTATGTGCACTATGTTCAAAACAGTAAAAGCATTTGCTTCTGTTGCATCCACTGCGGTAAGAAGAATCCTGCAAGGGAGTGGGAGTTATGATATCTTCATTCTCAGGATGGCTGACCAAGGCAGTCACAGTGGAAATCGTGGGTAGCCAGGATGATAGAGCCTGATGCTGTTATGGGGGTTTCCAGTTGTACCCCACAGTGGCAATGTTGGTGGAAGACCAGCTTAGCCAGCAGAACTAAGTTAACCCACATATCCCACATTTGGTGTGAAAGGGGTGGCTTCCTCTGTGAATGTATTAAGTGTCATAGAGCCAAATTACATTTTTTTTTTAAGCAAGCATGATTTTGGGGATGATTTGCATGTGTTAATTCATTTCAATAAATCAGCATTTAAAACAATGGTTATAACAAACCACATGCAGCTGGGAAACAAACAAAAAAATAATAATGGTTTCGGATAAGCCTGACAAACTGACCCAAAGCTGATATACATTAGAGATCCAGAGGCTGGCCCTAATTCATATCTTGAGGGAAATTAAATTTGGGTATGGATGCTAATCTTTGTGTTAATGCCCTTTAGAGTCCCTTGGCACAAAGCAATAAAATGCAAATAAATGTTCCAATGTTTTAAACAAATACTACACCAAGCAAATATTTTAGAAGATTTGATACTTGGCCATTCATAGACTAGGGGTAGGGGGAATTGAATTACAACAATGCAGAATTAATTCCATTTTGTTTGATCTAACACCATTCCTGGGGACCCATCAGCGCCTTAATCCATCTATTTGCTGATCTCCACGTAAGCCCTAAATTTGTTTTGCATTCAGATGACTATAGCTCCAGCATGAAATAAAGCTTGCCTTTGATGGAGACAGTCATACATAGCTGAATTTTTTACTGGATATTTTGTGTTTTCCTTGTATTACTGTCAACAGCTAGCAAAATTTTCAGCCCCTAAATAATCTACCAGCTAATTGTATGAATGTGAGTTTCCAAAGATGTAGTAATGTAGAATCCTTGTCTGAACTTTGAATATTAAAGCTTCCTTATTACCTAATCGCCATATATGTCTTCTGTGGCCTCTTTGTGTTTTCCGACTTGCCGAATTGGTTCAGAGTTATTGACAGAAGTTGGAAAAAGCAGATAGTCAGCAAAGTGTTCACATGCTATCAATCTTCTTCACACATTTGCTGGTTAGCATGGATGAATGTGAAAAAGGCCTATTATCTCCAACCTTTCAGGAGAACAGTGCTGCAGCTAATGGGGGCCAGTTTTATGTTCTGCATGATCCTGGGCAAGACTGACAGAAATGAATGAGTTAATTCTCCCCTTTTCCCTTTCAGAGCCACTAATATGTCAGTTCTAGTGTGTGTCTTACATCCAGTCCATTCTAGTACTTTTCGATAGAAGATTCTTGGGACTTTATCTAATCCACAGGTTCCCTTATGCAAAGAAATTCTTGATTGATTTTTTAGTGCCACCTTCTGATTAACATAAAAACCACCAGCTTGTTTGTGCAGTGTAGCATGTATTTGAACACCTACTATATGTACAAGACAGATTCAGAATACACTAGAAGTACCATATGGCTAGGTGACAAAGTCTCAACCTATGAGATCTGGAATCAGGTTAATATATGTGACTAAGTGCCATTGTGATCTACTCCACAGGGAAGTATTGTCCTTCTCATAATTAGAGTTCAGGTGTGCTTCTGTCAGTTCCCTTGAGAATGCTTTTGCTCTGTTTTCTTTAATTCTTGTTGTGGTCTCTTAAGTGATTCTATTACGGATTCATACATACTATGAATTATTACTGCAAATACACATGGAGTTATTATTTCATACCTATTCATTTGCAGGAACAAGACAATTTTGTTTTACTTTAACATTCTGAAATGTGCCAGCCCTCTAGTGCTAATAAACCTACAGTGCCCTACAACACAGGTATGTAAATGACAGTCTGATTCAGAGCACAAGGAGTGTCACTTACCAGAGCAACTTCTAAAGTGAAAGTTTTTAGAAGTACTGTTGGCTTTCTGTACAGTGGCGGTGGGAGAGGGATGGTAAATACGGATCCTGAAAATATTGTGTATGTGAACATCTGTAAAGGTACTGCTATGACTTCCCCAGGTTTCTGGTTGTCCCGACACACTCTAGATTCCTGGGTGCTGGGGTTTAATCAGTGTTTTGAGAATTAAGGCGACTTAACAGGCTTTGACAGTGCCAAAAGGCGCAGGCTAAGCTTCTTTTCCAGTCCAGGGCATTGCCTGAAACTGTATATCCACTTACCTGGGATCTGAATGGGACTTATTCCTCAACAAACATGAACAGGATTGTGCTGCTATAGGTTTTACAAATGAGCTTTATATGGGATTTATTTTGAAAGGGAAATAGGAAATATCCAGCATCTAAATACTTATAGTATACATCAGTGGTTCCCAACTGGTTCTCCACTGATTCCAGGAGGTCTGCCTAAGCCACCCAGGGAATCCATGGCACCATTGACATAACAAAAACTACCATAGAAATATCAAAATTTTCCAAAGTAAGGGGTCCATGGCTTGGCTTTTGAAAAACATGGTCTGCAGTAATTGGGAACCACTGTGTGTGTCTATGTGTTTGTTTGTGTGTGTGTGTGTGTAATTACAGCATGCAAATTAAACGTGCTAATATCTTGGATTTATATTGCAAGGGATTCAGCCTGTTCAAAGGAGGCCATGTTCAAAGGAGAACATGTGTGCAAAATTAAAATGCAGCATATCTCTGAAGTTTCATTGAAAAGCTGTGTTATGTATCCCTCTATCTTAGGTAATTAACTGCTGGTGTAGCAGATACTGGGATCAGAAAATAAACTGAAGTGCTCTGTGTGAACTTGATTGCCATGTATTATATGACTTTAGAAAGAGTTATGGCCTGAATAAAGCACAGGCTAGCCTTAACCCGTGTACAATAATGAAATCTTGATTTGCTTTTGACTGAGCTATTGAAAGTGAAAGTGGTTGGCTCTGCAAATACCCTGTTAGGGCAAAACCATTTTAACAGTTGCACACTTCATTGATTAATGTTTGTGTACTGTGCGAACTACACCGCATGGGCATCTACTGAGTTGCCTTCAAAAGTAGTTATAAGCACTTGGAAGCCTCGAGAAAATGCCTTCTTCCAAGTACTTCATTTAAAAAGAATAAGAATTAATAAACAGATTTTAAAATCAAATACTTCCAACAGGCAGGAAGATTTGGGGAAAATGCTGCCGCTGATGAAAATGTCAAACTGTCTCCTCTGTGTTTCAAAAGTGTTTATCTTCAAGATACTGCAAGGATTAAAAAAAATGTGATGTCTGTTTCTAAGTGCTGTGCTAAGTAGGCATTCTGATGAAACGAATCACTCTCAGAGATGGCTTTTTTTTTTTGTCTAGCTGCTTTGATAATTTAACTTTCTCATCTTCCCATGTTGCTTAGATCAATGTGCATTTTTCTTTTCTTAAAGCTTTGTGTCTCAAAGTGCCCAGACAGGTTTGCAACCTACATAGACATGCAATCTTCCTACAGATATAACAAAAGTTATTGGGAATACTACAGACAGTTTTGCAAGCCTGGCTTTAGCAAGCCATGGAAGGTGAGTATAGATAAGATATTGCGATGTGAATATTACCTTTTATCTGTCCAAAGTGGGTGCAGTCCTTAGCAGGTTTCTATCTCAATAGCTGTACAGGGTTTGTTGTTTTTTAACTCTATTGTTGGTTAAAAGGGTAAAGGGACCCCTGACTATTAGGTCCAGTTGTGACCGACTCTAGGGTTGTGGCGCTCATCTCGCTTTATTGGCCGAGGGAGCTGGTGTACAGCTTCCGGGTCATGTGGCCAGCATGACTAAGCCACTTCTGGCGAACCAGAGCAGCACATGGAAACGCCGTTTACCTTCCCGCCGGAGCGGTACCTATTTATCTACTTGCACTTTGACGTGCTTTCGAACTGCTAGGTTGGCAGGAGCAGGGACCGAGCAACAGGAGCTCACCCTGTCACGGGGATTCGAACCACCGACCTTCTGATCAGCAAGTCCTAGGCTCTGTGGTTTAACCCACAGCACCACGTCATTCCTAGTGCAGATTATACCCAAAGACTCCAGTATGACCAGCAATGGGCAAGAGGTTTCCTTCTATTGATGTATTTT